ACAGTGCTCTTTATTTACAGTGAAAAGGCTGTAAATACAATAACTCCCCGTTGCTCCCTCGAACCCCGTGTGCGTGCTTCCCTCCGATATCTGTGCTCGTGCTCCCCGCTGTTGTGTTTCCGCACCCCCGTGCGTGCTGCCTCTCCGGACCACTCCTCCTCCTGTAGGGAAACCAGAGACGCAGCCGTCAACACTAACCCTCGGCGGGCATATACGCACAGCACAGACCTAAGCTAACACACACTGACTTGGTAAGATAACTCAATGATCCCGCGTCGGTGGGAGCTCCAAGACTCTCCTAAGTAGCTCCCCCGACGAGCCCTGATCAGCGGCAGGTGTGTGGCTTCGGGTGTGGCCAGTCCCTCCGCAGGGCCACACCCCTCAGGCCTGCAGGTGGCCGAGCTCCATCCTCCAGGCACACCCGCAGACATACACACCCATACCTCGCCTAAACATATGAGTGGGACACAGACTAACACAGCACAGAGAAACACACATATGTACACGCACAGAGAAGGGGAAACGACACCAAAAATACATAATAATAATAATACACAGGTCTATGACTGCCCAGGGATCCTGGGTCGCCCAGTCCCAGGACCCTGACATTTTCATATTCAAATGACATAATTTCCTTAGGGATTATTAAAGTATTCTGATTCTGAAGTTCGTCAAGACAGTAACAAATATCTTCAGCAGTATCACTGGACAATTTATTAGGTACACCTTTTGGTAGATCTGTCTAGTACTGGTTTGGATCCCAATAGGTGATTCTATTGTGTAAAATGTTTAATTCTTCACATTTCATTTTTGGGTCTGGACACTATTTTTTTAGGGCCAGTAAAAAAAATTGTTGGTATTTTTTGATAAAAAGTAGAAAAACATTTTGATGTCAAAGTCCTAAAACAGCAGTGAGTAAAGGCTTTTACTCAGCGGTCACTGTGTTTAAGTGAAGTGCTCGACTGCATATTCTAACTCATGTGAAACAAGCTTTGATTGTTGAATTGTATCAAAACAATTGAGAAAACTTAAAAAAAAGAAATATGGTAATTATTATTCATCATTTTACTTACTTATGCTTACGTTAAATAGTATTATGAACATAATCATGTTCATAATTTGGTGAGGGAGCAGGATTTATTTGTCTCCTCTGGTGCATTGGACATGTTTTTTTGTATGAATGCTTTAACAAGGCCTGATATTTTTTTTCCCAGTGCCATCATCAGGCTAAAATCTCCACACGCTACCCTTTCCAAACAAAACACAGCACTGAATAGGTGGATTGTACAACATTTGCTGAGAAAATGTATGTTTCCTGAGAAGAAACTCCTTTGACTTCACTGATTTGAGGGTCTTTTCTGTACCATGATACTTAGAGCAAGCTTTGAAATTTCATCCTCAGCGCTGGTGAGGCTTAAATGTTGCATTCACATCACACAGGCAGGATAGGAAAAAACAAAAGACATCCCTCTAACTGTCCTTTCATTGCTATAGTCAGCAATTAAATGTACTAACAATGAGGTGTTCTGACATCAGTATAATCATCCTGCCTGAGTGTGCATTACTGCGCAGCGCATAATATATATGGAGTATATTTTGTAAATGCTTGCAGTGTTGTGTGTTTGTAGTTAATGTCATCGCCGCTCATATCTGGGGTAATAAACATCCATTGTCAGTTCTGTGTGGTTCCCAGAATTTTATGCCCAATAAAACTAGAGAAGGCAAGCCCGGCTGTGTGTGTCCAACAAATAAATACAGTGTCACATCAAAAGTGTCTCCAATATTTCCCAATAATCTTCCTATATTTGCTCATTTCCTCTCTCTGGCACACGAGATCAGATCTTGACTTCAGCGTATTGGAAACTAATGAGGCAGCTCTCCAGTTTCCCTGTTCATTTATGCAGAACACTCCAAAGTATTACATCCAAAACACATTGCAGATTAGTGTAGTTTTTCCCGTTTGATTTTTTCTTCTTTTCTTGTTTTTTTGGGAGAAAACAAAAACAGGAAATGAGGCCAAAAACTAACTGTGAGCAGATTTGTTGGACTTTGATGTGACTTTCATGTTATTTTGGGGCATGGGGAAGGAAAGGGCAGCGGTAAGTGAATGGTTTGTCAGGATGGTAGAAGGAACAGTGTAGGGGCTTTGTTTTACAGAATCAGGTTTGAGTGCTGATCTTTGACCCACATATGTAAAGAGTGGATTATTAGAGTGATGACTCCAAGGTTCCCTGTTTGGTGGTGAAGGGAGGATTAATGATGGTTTAATTCCAACTATTAATCGCTTACTCAACCAGACTGTTTTTAAATCAACCACATGAACTACGCCATTGAAATCTGAATCTGAAATCTTGTCAGCAAAGACGTAAACAGTTCAGACATAACCCCAGTCATCGGTCAATGATTTAAGAGGAAGCTAAGTTGATATATGTTAGAGCTTTTCAGATATGATGTTATCATCACAGTGCATTTTACATAGCACATACCTTAAGTTGCACAGCTTATTGCTCAGAGGTAAAATAGAAGCTTAAGCGAGTCTTAAGACTTAAGAGATCCCTTATTCCTTTAAATTTTGCTTCCAAAGAGACACACTTCCTTTTCATTTTTAAGTGGTCATGAGCAATAGTTCTTCAGGCTTTCTGATTGCTTTTTCAGTCACTTTCAGTCCAGTTCTTGTACCTGACCAGAGCAATGCTTTGTTTGTTTTTTAAGCCACTTAACACTGACCTAAAAAAAAAGGTTCCTAAAACTGCCAGTGCAGAAAAAGCATACCCGGAGAGAAAAACACACAACAGAACACTGCCAGTCATAGATTGGCCTCCCCAGTAACTAGATGTCAACATTACTGAAGCAGTGTGGGATCATCTTGACAGCGAACAGAACAAAAGACAGCCAACACCCGAAGCAGAGCTTTAAATGTCCTTCAAGAAGCCCGGTTAACTATTCCTGAGGACTACTTAAGGAAATTGCGAGAAAGCTTTTCTCAGAAAGTTCAGGCATGTACTGAAGAATAAAAGTAGTCATTACCAATATTAACATTCGAGGTTATTGGAAATGTACAAACTCTTTTTGTGTACTTTATTTCCATGTATGTTTGTATGTTGCTGTACCTATTTCCCATTTTCCTGAGAGAAAAACAAAACTAAGGAAGAGCTATACTTTAAAATGATTATTCATCTTTTAGCATGCAATTGTGATGGGGCTAGGGAGGAGACCTTATATAGTGTCATTCATCTCATTTGCATTGTGTTTTTGCACAAAGAGCTACAAGTTGAACAGACTGATAGGTCGTGTAAACTGATTTAATTAACCTTTAACGTGACATTGTCCAAATTGTGGAACATGAAAGTGGGGGAAAAAATCCACAAAATGCATTTAGTCTAACTTACACAATCATTTAATCATACTAGAGAAAAAGATGGCAGTGAATATCGCAAATGTATTCCCCCTCTGCTATTACTCTAAAAATTCTCTGGGTGCACTAAAACTGATAAGAAGCATTCATGCGGGCCACTGATAATATGCACATCAGACCTTCAGTGACTCACTGCTATTGAGGGAAACTGATGTTATTGTACATGGTGCCATCCTCTGGCAGCTGTGGTGGACTGCAGGCAGAAAAAAAGCTAAAAAGTCTATTTTGTTATAAACTGCACATCACATGTGACACGTACTGTACTGTGTGTGAGTGTGTTTGTCTAATATCTGTGGGTTCATTTGCAAGGCACGTTACAGCTTCAGTGGCTTGGTTATGATTCTTTTTGTGATAAATTCTATGAAAAGGTGTTTTTCTCTGTTACGATTTTTTAAAACTCTGAACTTCAGCATTATATTTTTAGTAGAGTGGAACAATGCAGCTTCCGAAACCTAAACTATGGAAGTCATTTTTCATTTCATAGTGTCCAGGTGCAAAGACATATCTTTAAAAAACGTCATTTTACACACCATTACATAAATGGAAGCTCTTATAAATGTAGTTTTTATCATTTGCTTTGTTTGATTTTATGTTTTATATGACTGTGTATTTTTAATGAAATACTGTGGCACACATGGACTTCTATAAAAAGCAAAGACTGCTATTTTTTTTATATTTTTTTTTTTACTTCTTTTATTTGATGACTAACCAGTGGTATTTTTAACTGGTTGTAAATGAACATTATGCATTTTACATTTTTTTTTAACATTCTACATTTTTTCAGTGTATAATTATACAGACATTGTATTTTTTTACTGTATATAATTATATATCATCTCTTGATGGCACAAAAACACCAGAAAGTGTGTAATAAAAAGAATTCAATAGATTTCACATATTTCTCATGCTTTGAAGCATGAAAATAATTAACAGTCTTCTGTCCAAAAAAGACACTAAATAAACAAACAACATCACTCGTATGCAAAGCAGTTAATAAAATGCAATTCTTGCCTCACTAATATAAATTAATGTACAGATAACACACATGCTGGATATTTGGACTTGCATTTACATAGCACTTTTCTTCTATGCATGTTAAGCACTTTAATTTCTCACATATATCTTCTGCTCCCAGAACCTACCACTCACCACTTAACCCAACAACGACTGTAGACTACTTGAGTTCAAATTTGACACAGCAACATCTGCGATAACAACCTTAATGTCACCACTTTGACCAATTTTACTTTTTTTATGTGTATCTCCTGGTTTGTCACAGCACTTTTGCTATATTCGTCTTGGTTTTATACGATATTTACCTGCATTTTATGCTGTATTTTCATGTTTGTCTTGCAGATCTGAGTCACACGCTTCTGTTCTTGCTTCTCATTCTTTGTAATCCCTCATAATGATGGATAATAGGTGCATTTTCATGTGTGTGGGACTATTTGTATTGTTTCATATCCAGTTGCTATGTGAGTGCCTTAATGTATCCTATGAGCTACATGTGGCACAGGCCGACTAACTCTGGCATTCTTGATTTCCTGCTTTCGAGCTTGTGCCCACAGCAGTACAGTGCTATAACTTAGGCGGCCTGCCAAACAGACCACAGTGTGCCCAGGGTGATGCTGTAGGCCACCACGGCCACCAAGTAGACTCTGAAGAGCAGCACGTCAAGCACATAGCCAACCTGGAGCCACTCCTTGGCAATTTCACGGCACTTGTCCCTCTTCTCTAGGAAGTGACGTATCGTTGTCACCTCTTGCAGGATGTTGTCCATGAGAGGTGGGACGTTGTCCTTAGCTGGAGTCAGGTGCAGTCCAAGCAGTCCATCTTCTCTCTCATGCTGGCTGAGCTTTCGGCCGATTTCACAGGTGTGGTGGAGTGAGCACGGGGCTGTAGGGTTTGATTGGAGTTGTAGGATTATTTACAGTGCTAAAGCTTAAAAGCATTTAGGGATTTTTCCTTATTTTCTGCATTATTTAAGTGCGATTATGAATTATATTAGCCACTTTACTTGTTTTCTTCAATACCTACCACTTCCATAGTTGTTTTCCTTGTAGTTCTCCATGTCAGTGGACTGAGAGGAAAGTCTGGAACATAGCCGGTGCTTTTTGTGGATGCAGAAAAGGACTGGAGCTCTTTCCAACACCAGATACTTCAGCCACTGGGGCACAGGGGGCTGCAGGTCTTGTTTGTGGACCAAACGTACAATCAGTACAGTTTCTGTTAGGCTGATTACTAGGAGGGCCATGCAAACCACAAAGTACACACCTGTAGGACAGATAAGATTAAAAAAATAAATGAATTGTAGTATATAAATGATAAAGGGTAGTATGGTAAATGGTGAAAGGATGTGGCCTGACACCCAATCCATCCTGGGATAGTTTTCAGCTCAGGTGATGTTTTGCCCTCAGCCATCTGTCACTGCATGCTTTACTACAAACCAATAGCTGTTCATGGTGTTGATCTCCCCTGACATATTTTTCTCTGTTTTGTTTACCCATACATTTAAAGAAAAGTAAGACTGCCTTCAGGCAAAATATTTTAAACTCATCTCTACATAGTCACAGAAAATGCTCATTTGAATACAAACTGCCGGTGAGCGTAATTGATTCTAGTCACCAATTAGCGGGGTTCCTATGGCAGTGGCAGGCAGAGTGTCAGACACAATGATGAGGAAGACAGAGTAGCCCAGCAGCAAAGTGATCTTGAATGAAACTCTCTCTCCACTGTCTGGTGGCAGATAGAAACCCACAATGTCCATCACCATTAAGAAGATGCTGGGCAGCAGCAGGTTCACGGTGTAGAATAATGGTCGCCGTCGGATCACCACCTGGGAGATTTAGTTTAGAGTCAAGTTAAAATGTGTGCTATCAAATGAGGGAGGACATGTTTAGCATTTCTTTTCATAAAAACTGGGAATCTGGGGAACAGATGGGAACATGTTTCTTGTTTCTTGTTGGTATAAGCAGTTTATCAACAGTGTTATCACCTGGGAATAGATTTTGAGTAATTGTACCACAGGCAATGAGAAAAATACACACAAGGTAAAATGATTTTTTTAAAAAGACCTTTCAGCTTTCTCTGTAAATCATAGTAAGAACATTAACTATAACCTATAAACAGGGGCGCACATAAGTGGTCCACATGTGCGCATTCGCTGTCAAAATAAAAGAAGCGCACCCAATAAGAAATTGCAACGCGCGTTTGCGTCCATATAAAAAGCACTGTTTTTGTCCTGTAGAGTGGGATTTTCACGGCATATTCTGCACCACATCTCTGTGCGTTTATCATTTGTTTGAAGCCAGCTCACCTCCTGCAACCACTTTTCCGAGAATACGTGCTTCTTTTGTGGTTCGGACTCCTTCTGACATTTCTTTGGAGGTGGAGGAACACCAAAGTAATTGCTTAAAGGAGCTTGCATCTTCGACATCTTTAAGAGTTCTAAACAAATGTCTGTCCTCCTCCAGAAAATCTTATCTCAAACGCGCGTTGCAACTTCTTATCTGGTGCGCGTCTTTTATTTTGACAGCAAATGCGCACCTGCGGACCACTTATGTGCAGCCCCTGACTATAAAGCATGATGATGAATACATAGTCAGGTCCAAAGTTATTTGGAAGTATTTGAACAATTGTAATTTTACCTCTCGGGACCACTGCAGTGGATTTGAAATAAAACACTGATAATTTTATTAAAGTGAAGATTTAAATTCAAGAGGTTACACAAAAGTGTTGCATTAGTTGTTTAGGAATTATACCAATTTTTATCCATAGTCCCCTATTTTCACAGGTTCAAAGAGAATTGGCTTGACAACATTTCACGATCAGGTGATGCCTGTCTTTTTTCAATTCCAAGTACTGAACTTGCATTTGGTGCCTGTTCAAGAGACATCCAAGAGATGTCTGTGCAAGTAAACAAGACCGTCATCTGGTTGAAAAATGAAAATAAACCTGTCAGAGAGATAGCAAAAGCCTTTTTAGTGGCTTTTGCGACAGTTTGATGTGTGCTTAAAAAGAATGAATTCACTGTAGTTCATCAACACCAAAAGGTCTGAAAGACCACAAAAGATAACTAAAGTAAATGATCACAGAATTATTTCCATGGTTAAGAAAAACAACTTCACAACACCTTGCTAAGCCAAGAGCACTCTCAAGAAGGTATGTGTATCATGATCAAAGTCTCCAATTGAGAGATGGTTTCATCATCGTAAATGCAGTTTACGACAACGTGCAAACCACTTGTTCCACTCAAAAACAAGAAGGCCAGATTAGACTTTTCTAAAGATCTAAAGGAGCCTGCACAGCTCTGGAAAAAAATCCAAATCATGGAACGAGGATTCACTTGTAACAGACTGACTGGAAAAGAAACGTATGGAGAGGGAAAGAAATGGCCCACATCATCTGTCAAACATGGCTTTCCATAGAGACAGGTCACTGGTGTTTAGTAATGACTCAACTGCTGATAAAAGTATCAGGATGAATTCTGAAGTGCAAAGGGTTATACTTTCCTAGATTCCACCAAATCCTGCCAGCCAGACAGCGTTTCACAGAGCAAATGGTTAGTGATGCAAAACAACCTGCAAAAGCACCTCACAAGTTTTTCAAAGCAGAAAAATGGGATAGTCCTTAATCGCCGGAGGAAAAAGATGATGGCCATGGACTTCAGGCAGTCAGTGAGTGCAAAGAATTTAATCATAAAAAAATTCTTTTGTTTAACATCGGGGTTGTCCGGTTACTTTTGAACTTCCAAAAATGAGGGACTTTGTATAAAAATGCTTGAATTTCTGAAGAGTTAATTCAGTACTTCTGATAAACCCCTTAAATTGAAGCTGAAATTCTTATGTCTATTTTTTATTTTTGGTCAGTCTATTGTTTTCACTGTTTCTCTATCTTGACCTATTAGATTGGTTCTGAGTTTTTGTATGCTCTATACAACTTAGTAAATCTTTACACTCACATGAAATTTCATTTCAGCGTAATACTCTTCTTTGTCCACACTGAAGTTCTTATATTTGGATAGTACATGAAGTAACTCCCACTCTCCTTGGTTCATGAAGACACTCTTGTCTTTACTGAGTTCCTCGGGCTCTCGCATCAGGGTGATGTTGATGTCATCAACTACAAATCGAACACAATATTGGGAGCAGCGTGAAACAGCCATGGCAACACGTCAGCCTTCACCTACCTCTGTGCTCTCTCACAGCGGGAGAGAGTTGATGGATTCATCAAACAGAGCAGTTGTTCTAGCCAAGACTTACAAGAAGTGGTGCTGCTTCAAAGACATTGATTGGATTTAGCTTTTTTTTTCTGTTTAGTTCAATTTGCATGCAGGTAATTGATAAATATGAACTATTCATTGCATTTTTTTTAAAGCATTCACAAATACTTCTAACCTAAAATGTACGTTTGGCTTGTTAGAGGCTTGTTAGCATTCTTATACATGGGAATACTTTTAGGAATAAAAATAATAAAATGATCATTTAAATGTCATATAATAAAAATGTTTTTAGAAAAACAAAATTGTGAGAATGACTGTTATGTAATGATAAATTAATTAATAACTCGGTGAAATATCTTACTGGTATGGAGCCAGCTTTGGAAGGTCAGGCTGCAATTCTGTACATCAAATGGGAAGTTGTAGATATTGAGAGTGCAAGCTGTGACAACCTGGATGGGCTTGTAGTTGCGCACAACTCCATCATCTGTGACATAAACGTAAGGAATGTCTGGAGACTTCCCCACGTCTACACTGCAGGTCACAGGCAGAAATAACAGTTTTAATCATTGTAACAGAAATGCGAGAGGGTCTGTCTGTTAGAACTAGTAATAGCATAATCTTACAACTCATTGATGAGGATGTCAGGAACCCAAACATTAGCCGTGGGTATGGAAATTTTTTTGACTCCATCAAAGTCCTGTGAATCCCACACCAGGAACTCATCTTTCCATGACTGAAATATTCAGGAGTGCAGAAAGAACCAAACAGAATGTAAAGATTTTTTTAATTGCACTATGTCAGAAAATATGGACTGAGTGTGGTGTCATTATTAAGTGAACACAAAGGAATACAAAGAAAAGCAAACACAGATGTAAGTTAAAGCAAACATATTTCATGCAGCACTTTATAAGTTGACTAATGTCTAAATTTTATAGATAATACTTTGTGTCTTTTAATGGCGTATTTATTGATTTAGTCATTTGTCCAAACAAAGACAAGCAAACATTTGGTTTGTTTGTCTGTGTTTATGGCACTTACACAGCCCCATGAGAAAATGTAATGGTTTCAAAGAGGGGGAAAAAATCAATCATAACTGAAAGTTTTTTGTTTTAAATGGCATGAATGTGAATACTAAAACTTATTGTTGAGTAACCACATGTTTGCCATGTCAAATAGATCAAATATGTGATAAATTAATAATACCACAATTACAGATAAAGTAAGCAAACAATATACATCAAGATTTTTTATTTTTCTTACCTGTCTGTACCAGACGTATGTTGTTAACACCTGATTCTTCTCATCCTTTAACACAAAACAAAACAGAGAAATCAGGGGAAAAACAAAAAATGGTATATGGTCCACGTTACATTGGTGCTTCTATGTTTTTTTAAAAAAAAAACCTAACATGTGAAAGCAATGATTTAGATTCAGTTTTACAAAATGACTGTGTATTTGTGCATGCTCATGTATGCATAATTATGACACATTGTGTACTTAATGATGATTTCTTTATATATATAATGTTATATATACTATATAAAATATATATATATAACACACAGAAAATAGTAATTGCTTTGTAGACAGCATAACTCACCACATTAAGGATAGAGTATACCATGAGGTCAATTTCCACATTAGTAGGGGTGTTCCAGTCTTTCACTGGTCTCACTCCTTTCTTATAACCGACACTCAAAAATTCTGCCAGTCGCACTAAGGTGGCATTGGCAAATCTTCCAGTGCTGCTGCCCAGTTTCTTTGCTGAAAAAGTTACAGTGAAAATTTGAAAAATCCATAAAAAATCTAATAGACACACTAATATAATATATATATATAATAATATATGCACATATAAATATATGCCATTAAAGAAATAGTTAAAATCACAAATGACAAACAAATGTGTAATAAGATCGGTTGCATCTGTGGTCAACTTCAATAAAAATAAAAATAGAATTCATCAAAAATAATTAGAAGGAAATCATTATGAATATTAAATGCACTGAATATTTTTAAACTAAATGTATTTCATAAGGAATATGCATTTCTTGTTTCAGATGACAGATAACAGCTACATGTCACGTATATTTAATCAAAAAGCTACATTTCCAAGCATTCAAAGCATAAATGTTTTGAAGTTCCATAACGTATTTCACCACAAATATAACAATACTTTAAGTGTTCATTGCTTTTTTTATTTCTCAACATATATCCTTTATCTTTTATACGTACAATTAATGTCAGCTGTTTCTGCGATATTTCTTTCTTTGTTTGAGACACTTTAATTTTATTTAATTTAAATGATAGATATATATAATTATTAGTTACTAAGATTCATTATTAAGATTCAACTTTTTGTAAAAACACTTAATTTGTTAGCAGACAGATGTGACTAAAATAAAACAGCTAAGATTGGACTAGAAAGTCAAATGAAGACTAGCAAAAATATTACACAGGAAAGCTAATACCATTTTAAACTATCATTAATATTTTCCCTGATATTTGGTGAACCCAAGGCCCAAAACTGGCTTAGGTTAACAATAAAATTAAATCCTCTGGTGTACCTGTGCATTCTTTTGAGGCTTCATTAATCAGAAGGAAGCAGAGTGCTGTCCAGGCTGATGAGAATCTCATGCTGCTAGTTCACCTGTGTTTTCCCTTGTTGCTGCTGAAGTCTGCCTGTCGCTCTGATGAAAGGCCTCAGGATGCCTGGCACCTATATCCTCCACATCCATCCACTATATGCATCGCTTCGCTCACATCCACTATCAAAACCTTGTTAGTGTCACTCCACTCATGAGGGTGTATCCGTCTGCTCTGACACCACTCCTTGTTCAATAAAGCAGCAGCTCGCTCAGATAAATGGAGCCAGAGTTCTGCGACTGGATCATATGTCATGTCTGAGAAGTTATTTAATTCAATAATACGATCACAGGCCAGTATGTTACAATGTTTACCAATTAAGAAACCATTAGGCAAGAATGTCATCTCATTTTAGTCTCAAAGTGTCAGCAATTAATGCCTTAAAAACAATTAAAAAGGAGCGTGGCGGTGTGAATTTTTATTAGCCAGTTTTCAGCTGTCCTCAGTTTTACATCAGGGTACATTTTGTTTGGTAAATATGCCCATTAACTTTTAAGGAAAGGGCATAATATTTTGTTCACACCTCAGAGCATACTATACTGCAAATGTTCGTGGCCAGGATTGCTCTATCTACAGTACTTACTATGAGTAAACTGATTATGTGCCGCATACAGCCCAGTTATCTTTACAACACTGAAATAATCTTTGCTGGATCTGCCTTCAAAATGCTCCATCATCCCTATTACTACTGAGTCTACTATCATTACACTTGCTGTACAATTTCCAGACAACAGTGAAGTCCACAAATGCACGTAAGCTTCACATGTTCTGTGCTTTTGGATTTAAACAACAGTAGTATGTTGCAATTTATCAGGATCTAGAAATACTATTTACTTTCAATACATTTTCATGGCTATACAAGGAATAGTGGTATGCCTTATTAAAAAATTTAAATGATTAATGAATCATTTGCAACTGTTAGCCTTTGAAAAGTAGCAAGGTGAACTGGGCTCTTTGGCAGGCCAGTTTTATTCAGTTCAATTCAATTTTATTTATACAGCGCCAAATCACAACAACAGTCTCCTCAAGGCGCTTTATATTGTAAGGTAGACCCTACAATAATACATACAGAGAAAAAAAAACCCAACAATCATGTGACCAAGCACTTTGGTAACAGTGGGAAGGAAAAACTCCCTTTTAACAGGAAGAAACCTCCAGCAGAACCAGGCTCAGGGAGGGGCGGAGCCATCTGCCGCGACTGGTTGGGGTGAGAGAAGGAAGACAGGATAAAGACGTGCTGTGGAAGAGAGACAGATTAATAACAAGTATGATTCAATGCAGAGAGGTCTGTTAACACATAGTGAGTGAGAAAGCTGACTGAAGAAGAAATACTCAATGCATCATGGGAATCCCCCAGCAGCCTAAACCTATTGCAGCATAACTAAGGGAGATTTCAGGGTTACCTGATCCAGCCTTAACTATATGCTTTAGCAAAAAGGAAAGTTTTAAGCCTAATCCTAAAATCTTAAAATTCTGGCCTCTGTGCCACATGTTTAGCCCCTGATCTTAACTGCACCTTGAAAGAGGACAATATTGTAGTTCACTTTCACACTGACTATATCTAAAATACTGAAAGCTTTGGTTTTTGACTCATATAATGTAAGTAGTTTTCAAATTCAGATTGCAATTCAAACAAAAAAACCTAGGTTTGATTTGGATTGAACCTTTAGCTCTAAGCCATGGAGGGTTGTAACAACTCTTTAGTTTCATTCATGTGAAATTTCCTAAAGAAAGGTTTTGTGGCCTACTTTTTCACTCGCCTGCTCTCCGGGTTTCAGAAATAATGAATATGAGCAGCGAAGCCTTTGAGGGCTTGTAGCTGTCTCTCTAAATGGATGCATACTAAGTCTGTAATCATGTGTATTTCAGAAAGGCAGGATCCATCGTTCCTTTGCCTCACAAAAGCTTTTGTTGCTTCTTCTGTCATGTTTTATCTTTGCAAAATAATCACATTCTTTTTGTGGTTATTATTTTTATTTAAAAAAAAAAAAACAGGCACAAACATCTACAGATTACATTTATATCCAAAACAAAGCGAATGCAGACATCTTAAACAGCCACTGGAAGCCTCATAGAGACACTAACAAAGCAATGATGAAAGATTTATTTTCAGATGTGTTGCATAACATCGTGTAACCAGATATACTGGAAAAAAGAGGTTGCTGATACCGTCAAAACTACATTAATATTGATCGTTACACTGGCAAGTTTTCTGTGCACATTTGATATTCTTATTAGGACTATTAGGAAACCACCAGGGAGTAGAGACACAGCAGCTGAGCTCTGAAAGGTTTTCACTGATCCATTTTGTGGCAGTAGGATGGAGATTAAAGTATGAATACAATATCATAGCATCACACTGGAAGTGAGAATTTTCTCCTGAGAGCTACTTTATTGTACAGTATCTCTGAGTAAATCTTCACTGCCGGGAAACATAATAACAGAGCCGATACAATAATGTCTTTGTCAGAATGATGATACAGTGCTACGATGGCTAGAGCGGTGGCGGTTACGCGAGCAGCATATTTAAAGAGTAGCTATTGCTCCAGAAGACTTCAAGTGTACTTTTTGCAGTTTTGCCAAATATTTGTACTGGCTATTTAAAAGGCATTACTCAATCTGTCAGTAATAAACATAGTTTTTTTTAATAATTTATATAATCTGAATAAACTGTTGTTTTGACCACATCCTGTTCTTAGACCCCAAAGGTCCAAAACTGTGATTAAAACTAAAAACAGTCAAAAAACAGCCACATTGCAACATATAAAATACAACAACAACATACAAATAAAGTGTATTGTAACCAGTGGTTTCTTAGGTTAAATATATATGAGCACTTCTTGAAGTAGCCTATATTTTTATTTAAGTCAGGTTTATTCTATACACAGCAACAGTGCAGTATTTATCTCTGCAAGTACAGTGGACATAGGCAAGAACTGTTTTTAAATGTGCAGTTAAGTCAAGCAAAGCTCCAGTTGACCCAGAGCAGCAGCAGCGTTCCAGCATACAAGCCCAGAACCAGCAGATAAAGGCGAAACAGGAAGCAGTCGAGCTTAGAGCAGAGGGCCAGCCATTCGCTCTGAGCTGAAGACTCGCTGTCCTCCTGGGAAAAAGCTAGACGGAGGGAAACCAGCTCTCGGAGGAGCCACTCCAGCCCAGTGGGAGTATCCTGGATCTCATTCAGGGACAGCAGATCCTCATCCAGTGAGTTTTCAAGCTCATAGTCTAAGAAAAAAAACATTACAATGTAAGTAATGGATATATATTTATGGAGTAGGAGACAGTTTATATCCTTTACCAGCTTTATATCCTGTACAATAGCCCCATTGACTTGGCCCACTGTGCCACCCTGCTGCTATTCCACCCTCAACTATTCCGCTAATGCATTTTTGTCCTACTTTCAAAAAGAGTTTCCATACGCTTTGGCACAGTGTGTATTTCTATTTCTATTTTTAGGGCTTACATTTTCCCACAGATAAGATGTGCCTTGGCTCCCATTTAAGTGTTTTTCCTCCCATGACTCATGATGTTGTTTTCAATTTTGCTGAAGCAAAGTAAAAAAAAAAAAAAAAAAAAAGTGTACTCTTATATCCGCTGCCAATAGCACATTTGGGAAAACGAGTCTTAAAGTTTACCTCCAGACGGGTTTATGTGGTCGAGGGTTTTGATGGAAGTTAAAGCACTCTCAGTAAAGACATGACCAGCTGAGCCGTACTTGTCCAACAGGCAGGCAGACACTGACATTTCCTTGACCTCCTTCTCACTGTAGTGAAGCAGCTTCACAACCAGTATAGACTTGATCAGACTGAGCATCAGCAGGGCCATGCACACCACAAAGAACACCCCTAAATGGAGATTGCATAGTTCAGAAACTTGGTGGAGAATATAGAAACACTTACAATAGTGTCTAGTTACATAAAATCCAAACTATAACCGATATTTACAATAAAGCTTTACTGATTGCCCAGACACCTATTTCCATGCTCACAGTCTGATTCTACCTCAAACTGCCTTCATATTGTGACACACTGCCAGTCTTGGGGTATTTAGTCTAAGAGTGATCTTTTCTGTGGTTTAACATTACCCTTACTCTTTATAGGTTTTTCATGGAGCACTCTATTTAAGGCAGAGCAGGTTTGCAGCCTCCCCAGATAAATTACTGTGTGTAAAATTAAATGTGGGGAGCACTCAGAGCTTCATAATTTAATTAAGGTATTTCAGATTCTGCTTCTTCAATTAGGCTCCACTTGTTTTTCCTCTTGTATTCCCCCAGTACTACTAGACATACTATTGTCATTCTACAAATTAATGTTTTGCAGACAGTGCACATTGGAATTTATTTTACATTAACCTTTCTGGCTTCAGTTACAGAATAAAAAACAGGATATAGGTTGTTTGCTTTACATATGTGTGTCTTTAAAATCCCACCAATGAGTGAAGTTCTGACAGCAGTAACAGGCAGTTCATCTGTCATGTTGACTCTGAAGACGGTGTAGCCGAGCAGTATGCTGATCTTAAAGGTGATGCGTGTACCGCTGTTCAGAGGCAGGTAGAAGCTCATCACATCTACCAACATGAGGAAGATGCTCGGGATGAGGAGTCCTACCACGTACAGCAGGGGGCGCCGGCGAATCAACACCTGAATAAAAGATGAGGCCAGTGAGCTGAGGTATGAAGGACAGAAGACAGACAGAAATAATATCCACAAGTCTTGACAGTTCACACACCTAATTTTGGAGTCACTTTTAAATATAACCAAGGAATATTTGTTTATCTCTCCAGACAAACAGCTGTGTGCATGAAACACTTATCTCTGACATTTCTGCCCCCAAACCCACCTGAATGGAACTGAGGAACATTTTACTTAGGACACAAAACAGCAGCAGCACTGTCTTGTTTCACAAAATAAATGTCCTTATTAGTCTGTATAATCCACAAAACACATTATCAGCTGTAACATAAAGGACAACCAGACTAAAAAAAAACAGTTT